CCCCAAAACCCCAAAACCCCAAAACCCCTTACTGCCAAAGATTGGAAGATAGGATAATCAATAAAATAATATAAACTTGTTTAATATAATTAAAATGATAGAGGCATCGAATTATATTCATAATGAATTTTAATTAAAATTAAGAGAATTAACATTTCCATTCTCTCTTAAGCAAGTAGTAAGTTATCAAAAGCATAGACTTAAACAGAAAGGAGGAGCAGCTTTTTGATAAGTTAAGATCATTTGTACATTTTGGAGAGATCAAAGATGTCCTAGAGAAGGAAATTCGATAGAATAAGAAGAAAAAAATCATCAACAAATTACAATAATAGGTTGACAAACCTGCTTATGAGTTTCATTATTAACAATAAGTTAAACATGAAAACACGAAAGAATAAAATCCATTGACATTATCAGAGCAATACTGAGATTTAAAAAGAGCACTTCACTTAGACTCTGCTGAAAGAATTCCACCTGACTAAATATTACATCAAAATTAGTATTTTGAGAGCCAAGACTTTAATTATCCAAAGCCAATTCCTAGAAAATCAAATCCAGTCTTATAAGAGTAAATTCTTATTCGTTCAAGATCACCTCTTGAATAGTCAAATGCCTATAAAACTCTTAATTACTAAGCAGGTTATGATAGTTAACCTAGCTATACTTAGTTTAGTAGGGTTCCATAAAGCAAGCCACCTTTACCTAATTAATAAATCAAAATGAACAATGACTATTTAAGAGATGATATTGAAGATTACATTAATGAGAAAAGTAGACAACTAGCGATGAATGAAAGCAAGTATATCTAAAATGAAATACAAAACCAAAACCCTAACCATCAAATTCCATTACAAAGATATAAATTTCCTCAGATTTTAACAAGTAGCAATGAATTCATTTCAAGAATGAAATCAAAAGACACAAATTAGAATTTATTGATACAAACTTAATCTACCAAAAACTAAGAATTACCGGCCGTAATCACGCCTCCTTAAGAAGCCAACAACCCAGCAGAATTTCTTTGAATGATTAGAAATAAAAGCATTTCTCCAACAAGATAGGAGAAATTGTTTGATACCCTTAAGGAAAAACTAAGGTCCTATTAAAGGGTAGAGATAACTACATCTACAAATAAATTAAGGACATAAAATATAGGGCAAGCATAGGAACTTAATTCTCATCAAAATAATGTTAACTTCAAAATTTCAAGACCTAATTTTAGACTTGATCCTTAAACAGTAGTTGATTAAATTCGTAAGCGCCAGTTTCGTGATAAATATCTTTAAATGCATATGAAGAAAGAGCAAGAAAAAGTTTCAAATCCTGCGAATACTTCAGCAAATAAAGGAAGTGACCAAAGTTTATCTAAAAGTAATTCGAAATCCCCCAATAAATTTAATCCTAATATTAAAAACAGAGAATTTCCTTTAAAACGATTTCTAAAGGATTCAAGTATTAAAGAAATACTGAATCAAAAGAAATTAGAAGCTGGTGATTCAGCAAACAAAATTACTGTGGTAAATGAGAAATAAAATTAGCAAGCTGAAATTAAAGATACCAAAAAAGTCTAGAATGCTTAAGATGAACTTCGAAGAGTATTGCAATAAGCAAAAGAGGAGAAATTGAGGAAAGAAAAAGAGATGAAAGAATTACAAGAAAAATAGTTATAGCAGGATAAAATTATAGATACTCTGCAAGATAATCAATAGTCAGAAAATAGGATTCTAGATGCATAAAACTTAACTTAGTATCAGATTTTTAAAAAGCAATAAGAGAAGTTGAAATAAATACTTTTGGATGACAGGTGAAAAGCATGACATGAAATAGAGAAGAAATAAACAATAATAGATCAAGACTTAATGGATAAAATAGATTAGCACAAGTAAGAAATGAAGAAGGAGGATAACCCACCTTTGCAACCTTAGAAAACTTTAGCCTAAAGAATCAAAGTCCCTGAGATAAGGTTAAATTAACGATCAGAAAAGTCAATAATGGAAGAATAAAAGGTCAAAGAATCTTAAAAGTAACTGAGAGAAGCTTTAAAAGAAGCAAAAAGACTTAAGGAGTTAAAATAAAAAGAAAAAAATGACTTTGATTAGGATGAAGAGTTCAGAAAACTCTCAGAGGATCTCAATGCAGAAAAAGCCAAAATATTTATAGAGAATTTCTTTAGACAATAATTCGCCCCATTAGCTCACCAAAATAAAAAAGATTTCCTTGAATCACCTTAACACAAATAGTCATCTAATTTATTTTAGAAACTACTCTAAACCAAACAGTTTTCCCCTTCTCATGCTAATAAGATGCTTACTGTAATTAAAGATGCATTGAAGCTCAAGATTAATGAGTTACAGACTTAGCTGAGGAAACAGAAGACAAGGCAAGAACTTGAATTGTAAGAATAGGATAGAAAATTTAAGCAATAACTAAATAAGTAAGTCCTTGAACTTGAAAATTTGCTTCATTAGTTGGATAATCCTATGCTAAATCTGAGTGGAAATGAAAAGGGTACAATGTTTAATCTTGACAACATATCATTTAAAGGTCAAGAGTTTGATGCAATAGGATAGGCTAATAGCAGAATAAATAATAATACAAATTAAAATGAAAACGAGGAAATTGATAACACTCTAAACTTAAGTATTAGAACCACTTAAAAAGATTCGATTATGTTTAATAATAAATTTCACTCAAGAATTTAATCCTAGACAGAGCTAAAAGATATAAAGGGCAGAGTAATTAGATAAGATGGCTAATTTTCTAAAATTAACTTAAATGAGCACAAGAACTAAACGAATCAAGCATTAAATCCTCAATATGATTGGAATACAGAATCAAAAGCAAGGAGACATCATCAAAAGGAAAATCAATAGGAGAATAGCATGATTAAAAAAGAATCAAACACATCTATGAAAGAGGAGTAAAAATCAAGAAGAAGAAATAAAAAGAAATCATCAAATTAAAATATAAAGAAGCAGAAAATTTAAGAAATTAGGAATTATATTACAGAAAGTTTAAAACCATAAATAATACCTGAAAATGATAAATACTAAGAGATTGAGCAGAAAATAAGAGCTTGATCTCCTGATTCAACTTTAAAACTAAGTCTAAAGCCTGCTAAAATTTCTGATCGATCTTCTGGTGATCATGTTTATAGTGATAAGAATCTTTAATCACCAAACAAAAAGTACTTTGAACATAGAGTTCAACATTCAGGGCCATAGACTAAATTTAAGAGAAAGTTAAAGTAATTGCTGAATATTGAGGGTCATCCTATTGTTGGCCTTGATGAAGAAGATGATAAGAAGAAATAGAGAAGAAATAGAGGCAGAATGACAGAGCATAGCAGCAATCAAGAAGCTTGGAAGCATGTTTATCCTTAATAGTATTCAAAATACTCTGAAGCTTAAACCACTTGATATCAAGCAATATAAGAACATTTAATCAAGGAAAATCTCCTTATTAGTAAATATGATGGAATTAAAGATACTCTTAAACTTAAATAGTTATTTTTGAAATTTATTATATTAGTTGACTAATGATTTCGTAATAAATTTACTTGAAAATGTACTATGATATTTTCTTATTTTTATTAACTTTTCTATAAATTATCATCTCTATGTTTACAATCGGGGTTTTGGGGTTTTGGGG